TTATTTTTTTTTTTTTTTTTTTTTTTTTTTTTATTTTTTTTAATTTTCTATTCACGACCGTCAAGCGAGAGTGTGATTTTTTTACATTAACGAAATTTGAAATCTCAGTCAAATTATGTAGCAATAACGAAAAAAAAAAAAAAAAAAAAAAACTACTTAATCTATCATACCTAATTCAGAGCCTAGGTATACAAGTATAGTTTCAAGTAAATTGTATACTTAATCATTATTAGTAACAAAAGAAATTTGACGGGTATGAATCCATTTTGATGCCTTATGACTGAATACTTTCTATCTTGTCATAAAGCAGTAAGGTGCGTCACATTATTCAAATATGTGAATAGTAGAATATAATCGTGCAATTAATTGGAAAAAATTACTAATGATAATGACAATTATTCAAAAAGAGAACGATGTTTTGTTTGAGCCACAAATAGAAGTGTTGTTTACTTTTTTTTTTTTTTTTTTTTTTTAAAACAAAAACATTAAATATCAACGAGTCAATGACTTTTATTTACAATTGTCTGAAGTTACTTTTCTTTTCTTTTCTTTTCTTTTTTTTTTTTTTTTTTTTTTTTTAACGTTGCGATTACTATTACAAATTTTTGAAGTCAAGAATTATTATATAGAAAAAAAAAAGTAATTGCAGAATATATATATATATAACGCTATGTAACATGAGTTACATAATAAAACACAAAGCATTTTTATGTAATGCATAATATTATTTATCATTTGATCGACGATTAAGATCAGAATACAAATTTATTGTAATATCGCTATATTTTGTTTATTTGACAGATAACTTGTAATTGTCCTATTAGAAAGTGTTCTTCGATAACTATAATGCCTTATATTTATATATTAATTTTAACATATAAATGATCTTGCACGATCATTAATTTCCATAAATATCAATTTTTGACTGTTATAAGATCAAACGAAACATAATGAAATTGTGCGATAGATGAGGAATACAGTTGCACTTTTTAAGTGTTTCAAGCACAGAACATACATTTTTCGATGTATATACATTCATTACACTTTTTAATCAACAAAATGCGAGCATAGTGACAAAAATGTATGTCTCAGGATTTTCGCCAACCGATCGAAGAACAAAACAATATCTCGTATTCTCTTAGAGAAAATCGACTGAAATTGATAATTAAACGAACTATGAATTTTTTTTTTGTGAACACTAAGTTGAAGTTGAAAAATATGGTACTTGTGACACGACCAAAGATCAAGAACCAACAGTGCCAGTTTAGTAATATCGCCTATAGTTTCACAAGTTTTTAATATTTGTATTTTCGGAGTGATAAGTATAATCATATTGAATCGTAATTTTGAAACTTATCTTTGATATTTATTTCAAAGCTGTAATTATCGTTTGAACATTTGTGAAGTGTTTTATAGATTCTCATAAAATATTGATGAAATAACATCTTCGTCGTACATCAACATTTGGAAAATTAATGTTTGATCGTTAATATTATTTGCAAATTTTCAATTTCATTAGGAACTTTTTTTTTCGATCATATTCAAACTCATTCTCAACTCATTCTTATAATTGTAGAAAAAGAAAATATATTATATACGAAAAAAAAAAAATATATATATATATATATAAATATATCAATTATAATATGTTTAAACATGATAATATTAAAAAGATAGAACAAAATGAAAGGAATGGTAGGAAGTAGTGACATACGGTTTTTGTCATCAGAAATATAATAGTGCAAACACTGTCCATAATAACATGAATTGAAAATAAGAACATATTCTAGAAATATTTCAGAAGTATGATCAAAGCATAATTAAAAATTAAAAATCATGTGTGTATTAATGTACTTACCAATGAAATTTTATGATTTATTTTATCTTTTTATCAATGTTGCATATAAGATTTCTGAAATCTAAAAGGTGGCTAAATATTATTTTTCATTTATTGAAGTTTTTATAATAATTTCATATTATAGAGACACATGCACGAAATAATTACTTCTGTGTATAGAATTAATTTTATACGTTTGTAAATATTGGAACTTTGTCTCTTCTTATTGCATATTTATATAACAAAAATTACAAAGAACATTCATGCTGACGTAATGTATCATTTATAAAATTTATTATTTAATATATTACAACTTTAGACGCAACTTATATTTTTCAAAGAAAAATTTATTGCGCGCAAATTTATTTTCCATGCTAAAATAAAATAATTAATTACACGTATAAAGTTCATCCAGCGATATTATCAACAAATAATTTTTCTTTGTTCAGCAAAACAAGTAATAAGTTTAATTTTTTTTTTTCTCAAATTATAGAGACAAACAACTATTCTGTTAATATTTTGCCAATGTACTGCAAATGACCTGAATTTATTATGCAACACTTTTGTGCATCTAGTTTAGCGCGCCTTTTTATTACATATATATATTATATATTATAAACTTATTTATATAACGCTTGTGCATTGTTTAAAATATTTATTAAAAATATTACAATTAATAATTATTTACGTCTTATATAACTGAAAATATGTATTTTGTTGTAAATTATGAAGAATAAGCTATTATGCTAAAAGAAGAGACCAAACTTTATACATTAAGATTTCGTCATTAATGAAGGTCAGTTTGTAGATTTTGTAGTATTTATATTATTTACACACCTTACCTTTTTGTCTCATTCAAATTTGTCTGTAGACAAAGAGGAAAAATCTGCTAATGTTTTTCATTACATTTACTGAAAAAGTAATATGATTTTATCGTGTACAACTGTATTAATAAATTTTAAAGCTTGTATCAATTGCATTCTTTTTATTTTTTTTTTTTTTATATGTTATAAGCTTATGTAAATTATGTGTGGTGTTCTTTTTATATGTATATTATAGTTCTTTCATATATCTATCACAGACTACACCGTATATTTTCTAACTGCTTTAAAAAATGTGTAAAAGTATAGAACCAAGTCTTTTTGTGTAGGTTCTTGTAACATTACTTTTTTATATTATTATTAAGTGAATAAGGTAGCACAACCGAGGAATTTTTTCATTTGACATATGTTTCTCGTTTACAGGCGAAGTGGACGTTACGTTTTTAATATAATTGACATTTCTATTACACAATTTCGTTTACACAATGTAATGTTACATAAACCGTACTAATTTAACAAAACATATTAATTTACTGCAAAAAATGCTGACAATGAATAACAAATATACAAAATACAGAATAAATATAAAGAAAACTTTTCAATGAAATATTTAATTACAACTCTTTCACTATTTATATAAAGATTTAGGCGAGCCTACTATTTACTTATAGTTTTTATATACTTTTTCCCATGTTAATGTTTGTATTATGAAATCTTTCTTACAACTTCAGGAGTATACAGATGATTAATAATAATAAATACTTTTCATATAATCATATATATGAAATATTTGCAAGCAAAAAAAAAAAAAAATGATTTTCAATAATATAATATTTTCCTGCAAATACATACATATATTCGTATACGAAATCAATTTTCATGTTGGCAAGTTTCATATGATTCATTAAACTATAATCTATTAAATTTACTGTGTGCACAAGATAAAGATGTCGTGTGCACGCATACATTGCACGCACGCACGTATGTATGTATGAACTTATGTTATGCACTATTTATAACTCTCTTTATTCTATTTAAAGAAGATAATTTTAATGGAGAATTTACTTATAAGATACGTATATAATATAAATATACCTTGAAACTCAATTAATTCATGAAACTTTCACGACTTAATGCAAAACTACAGAGATATATCTTTGAAGAATTTTTAAATTACAATTCATTCTTATATCAGATTACATACGTTTTAGACATATTTCTCTGAAAGTTAATATAAGTATTACATAATTCGAGAACATATATATAATACATGGTCAGTATATTTTTGAACATTTAATATTGTAGTAGAAATATTAGGCGGTAAGTAAGAAACATAATACTAGTATATAACGCATTTTGACATGTTTAACTTTTAATGCAATATGCACAAAATGGAAATGAAATTTTTTTTCTCATGTATTTACCTATTCTTCCTTTCTTTTTTCTTCTTCTTCTTCTTTTTTTTTTCTTTTTGTTTGTTTGTTTGTTAATTTACTACAAGTTAATTCTCTTTCTTAACGTATAACATTATAAATTTGATGTCAACAACAGTTTTAGTAACAGTAATCCTTTCGACAGTATTTTATTAAATTCATCCAGCTACAAATCTGGCAAAAGCCTCTGAAACCACAATTTCTTTTTTTGTGCTTGCATTTAATCTTATCATCGAATCGTGGAAAATTCTGTTATCTTTTTACAAAAAATTTAACACTTTTTTTATACATAAAAATTTTGCAGAATAATTTGATTAACTCTAATAAAACACCGTGCTACTTATACGTGCATTAAAAGTAATGAAAAAGCTAAATGTCTTTCAAGAATTATATAAAAATGATTATACATAAATGTTATATTCATTTTTATTATATTACATAAATGCTCTAATTTTTCTTGTAAATCTGTTTGATGTGATTGAATTTTTCAATGATTACTATGAGTAACTATACAAAGGGATATTGGATATACAAAGATTCGAAAAGAATATATATATATATATATATATATATATATATATATATATATATATATATATATATGTTATAGTAATAATAATAATTAAAAATATTAAATCATTATTCGTAATAAAAATGGAGTAGACTGAACATTTAAATAATGATATCACAAAAGATTCTTTGATTATAATAATTTACAAAATTTGTCTCTGATAAATTGAAAAGTGCTCGTTAAAAAATATATAGTTCGAAATTGTATTTAAATTAAGAATGTACTAATGGCTATAAAAATTTAATGAAACATAAATTATATTATATGTGAAATATGACCTCTTCGACCAATAAACGTCTCAGTCTCAGGTATGGCTTTGATTTGTAGGTAATTATCTATTTATTATATAACTATTAAACAAAGAACACACGCGACCTGTATTTTGTCGTCAAAAATTTGTTGGACGACATGTTGCAGGGAAGGCAATTCTCTGAATACTAATATTTATCAGCTGCATTAAGAAGTACAATGTCAAATTTGTACTTCTAACTGACATTTGAATTGCCTGGATATAAAGTTCCTGGCAATATACGGGCCTGTTGTAATAAAATTTTTCTCGTAAATAGTCTATAAAGTGTACCTCCTAGGATATTCTAAACTGTTCTCATTGGTAATGTTTGCCAAATGTTACAAGGAAGTATCAGAAGGTGGTGTACTTTCGTGATGGCTGACTTGATTTAAAGAATGCTGAAGAGCATCAGGAGTTAACCATTCTTTAGGGAGACAACGCTGTAAGAATGGTACACATGAACTGAAGTATGCCAAACGATTAACCCATCCAGGAATTTCTTGGCCACATAGAATCTAAAGGATAAAACATAAGATAAAATTTCTGTAATTGAACAATAAGATTTAAAAAAAAAAAGAAAAAATAACAGATTATTTATCTACTATGTATTGTAAATATTTATATAATAATATTATAATATTATAATAATATAAAATGCATACCAATGTAAATTGACTACTAAAATGATTACAATTTTTATTCATCAAATGATAACGATCTCCCCTAAAATCCTTTCCCAATTCATTTATAATCCTGGTAACATCTTCCTCTGTAAAATCTGTATATCCAATGTGTACTGACTGTCTATAAGACAAATGCAAATGAAATACTTAAGTAGTTAATTGAAATTTAATAAATAATATTATTATTATAATAACGATTAAAATACATGCCTGTATCTAAATTGTTCACCAAGTTCTTCTGCAACTCTAGGTGTTATTTCAAAAATGCCAGACTTTGGTTTTGGATGTCCTCCATAAGCATATTCTATGAAACATTATATTGTCAAAGTGAATTAAGTTAAAAATAATGAAATAATCATTGATCAAAATTATATACCTGTCCCGTATATTTCAACACCTGAATGAAATACTCCAAGACCAATTGGAGTAGTATATTCATTTATCCAATACTGAAAATATTATAGCTATTAAAAAAAGCTTTGTATAGGTCAACATTTTTTGTATTTCTATTACCATATCATAAACATTCAGAATAATTGGTTCACGCGCCATTTTTGGTATCAGTTCTTCGCTATCACGTGGATAGCCCAGACAACTGGGGAAGGAAAGATTACAGCCAAGACCTGATGAAAACATCATAGGATACTTGTACTTGAAGCGGTGAACAGCAGGACTATCTACGTTCCAGTACACCTAATAAGCAAATATATACTCTAGTTACATTGCCAAACCTAAGCAAATAGCCATAATACTAAAAATCACTCTAATGCCTATACAGATTATTTTGCATTAATCTTCAATGATACTATCAATAATTTGTTGTTATTGATATCAATCAAATACAATTAGATATCACCATGCATTTAAAAAAAAAAAAAATTAACAAGAAGAAAATAATTCCTTTTTAATACTTCTCCATAAGAACTATTAATAATGTTGTTTTTATAATTGATATAAACCTATGTAATTCAATTATTTTTATACTGCATGTCATGTAAAGGTTTTCTATAGAAAAAAAAAAGTAACAAACAAATAATTAAATGATTATTTCCTAACAATATTTATATAAAAAATGCATTGCCAATTTAAAAAGCTCTGTAAGCATTAATATATCTAACATCACAATTCTAAGAGTGTGTATATATATAAACACACACAATACATACATATATGAATTATACAGAATAGTATATATATATACTGTTTAATGTAAATATACAGTAATATATAAATAAATTTATTTCGAAGAAACTACTCTAAGTAGAGTAAATAGTAAACATTGTTGCAATAATAAAAATAAAATTTGATATTGTGCTAAGATATACTAATAACGATGTATGTGTTAACTAGAAATAAATATATTGAAATAATAAATCAGTTCACCTGAGAAAGCAGTGATTTAAACACCTTCTCACATCTCACGTTCCATTGTAAGAATATTTTGCATTTTTATGAGAATTTTCTAAAGGTTGTTGACATTAAATAAAGCGTCTCAACATCATACGATTTCATTAGAAACGTATATTCCTTATTTTTTTCTTTTTAGTTTTAATACTTCTCATTTATGGAAAGAAACGTGTTAACCTAAACTGTTTATTGCCATGAATTGCACAATGACAGGGATAAAATTTTACACAAAACAATAAGCAGTATGTGGTATGATGTGTTTTTAAACGCGCTAAGAATAATCGGGATGATTCATTATAACTTAAATTTGATTCATTACACGCATTATGGTATCCTTCAGTTAAATGAACACCGTTAGGTCAATTTAAACTCTTAACAACATGAATTAATATTAAAGATCTTTCAAAGTCATATTTAACACCGGAATGACGATCGAGGCTATAAGAGAAATTGTAAATGCCATCTTGTTTCAAATCATTTCTTCGAATATAAAACAATATTAAAGGAAAATAACACCGCGAGACGAAATCTGTGGTGTGATTGAAGCGCTACCTAGAAATTAATTTTGAACATTTCATTATTGTGAATATTACACATATATACATATTATATATATATATATATATATATATATATATATATATATATATATATATATATATACGATAGATGGAGTAATAGTTCGAATGTTTTGTTCCTTTCGTTACTTCTATAATGACTAATTTATGGTTTAAGCCCATTCATTACATTTGCTTTTATAATGATTTATGCCATCAATGAGAATTCATTTTGTCAAAACGAAGACGTTTAATCTGGACCATATCTTTGGACAGATGATTCTATGGAAAAAATGTAGAAATTCGTGTCCAATATTACAAAGTAATTACGCGCGAAAAACTTCAAATAATTTAAATTTAAAATTTCAATACTTAAAATTTTTTATCTTAGGGTTGTTGGCTTGTATAAAATAAATACATATGGTCTTTTGATTAGTTACCGACTTATAGGTTAATTATCGATTGATAGATTAGTTATCGACTGGTTGTTTGGTTATCGACCAGTATGGTCGGTAATGAGAATCCAAAAGTGTTATATCGGTAATGAAGATTTCAACAAAGAAAGATAATTTCAAAGAAAGATAAATTCAAAAAAAAAAATTTATTTATGTAGAAATAGATTTTGTAATTTTTCACGTAAAGTATAAAGAATGAATGGATGAATAAATATCACATAAATGTATTTATGTTATCAATTTAGTCAATGAGATTATTTTTCTTTTAATATTAATCGTACATATATACAAATAATAATTATCATATAATCATATCTAAAGATTTATAACTTTAACGAGTTGTAATAAATACGAGGGATGGTGGAAAATAGGATTCATTTAATTGTGACGGTCAAAATAAAAGAAAGTGTAAAGAAAATCTTGATCTATGGAACGTAATCCTCTTTCAAAAACATAGGATTTTCGTGACTATTCTTTTCCGTAAAATTGCCATCAGGTTCATCGACGTCGTTTGTGACGTTTTTACGGACGGCTTCGGTGGATCTGGCAGGTTCATTTATTACTTCCGTCAGTTGCATGGCAGTCGCAATCCTTAATGCCTTAAAACGAAATCGATCATAAAAAAAATTGCATACCTCTATCAAATACTACAAGTTATTGTAAATTATGAAAAGAGAAATAAATATTTTATTAAACGATTACGATCTTATCACCTTGCGTCTATCCCTACGAGCGGAATAAAGTACCCAAATAACATAGCACGCCATTATGATAGCAGGTATGCATATTCCTGCTATGGAAGATGTACCACGTAAAAGTGCATGGTGTAATGCAAGCAATGTGACTCCTAATGCCGCTCCACCTGCTACGTATCTTCCTGTACGGCTTCGATCATCCTAATAAATTAAGATACATCGTTTCGATATTATTAATAGGATTAAATAATTACGATATCGATATAACATTAATATCAATTATTAATCGAATGTAATTTATATTAATAATAACGTTAATGAACATAATTATTCCTTTATGGTTTAACAAAAATAATTAAAGAAAACAATTATGATCTGAACTATGATTTGACAGATATATATATATATATATATATATATATACATACATGAGTATAGAAAATGTATAATAAGTTTACCGAATTAGTGATAGAATTAAGAGTATCCCTCGAAGAAACTTCCGGTGTGATTGACATACTCCTGCCGAATACATAAAGCTTTTTCCAACTTTGATTGGTAAAAAACCTTTTTAGTATAAATTAGAGATAAATTTTATTATTATTAATTCATGCGTCACTTATATTTTTCAATGATGAACTTAGATTGTCGTAGAAGCGTTGAAAGTAACGTACACTTGCGACTTCTGATTGAACGAGAAAGCAATGAAAAATGTAATATCAAAACGTCGACTCGTTTGATTTCTTTTGAGGAAGTTTACATATTTTTTAACGTTTAATTTATCATCGATCACTAACCGCGTATTGAAAAGTTTGTTACGATGAAATTAAAGTCGACAGGTTGAGCGTCGTTTAAAAATGAACAACACATTTTTAATAAGATCCACGAATAAAAATGATCGATCGGTGCCGATCCTAAACGCTGAGTAACAGTTTTTCTTCGATTATTTAACACGCGCAAAAGCAAAACGATCACGGGCAGAATGGGTGGGCAAAAGGCGTTTTCAAGAGCAAGTCGACTCGCGCATTTACACCAGCACAATATAAACCAGACAAGCATGCTTAGGATAATAAACAAAAAAGACGACGCCCACATTGAATCTACGATCGATCGTATCGAAACGTCTTATGCGTTTAAGAAACAAGAAATGGATTAAAGAAATCGATCTTGAAGATTGAGGATTAGAATTTTATAAAGGCCAAGTGAAAATTCCCAAAATTATGTTTTTATACATAGATATGTTCTAATTTATCCTTTAACATTTCCGCCATTTATAATTTTTTTTTTTATTTTGAAAGATATCCGTTTGTTTTTTTTTTGTTTTCTTTTTTTTTTTTATTTTCTTTTATACGAACGATTGTTCGAACTCTTTTGGTAAACAACGAAATCACTCATTTTTTATTTTTCTTTTATTTTAGCAAACATTAATAAAAGAATTCTCAAAATTATTCGTATATTAAATTTCGGAAAAAGTGCAATGCATATAAGAGATAGCTGTATATTTTTCTATTCACACATGTAAGTCATATTGCCTACCTTGTCGGGTGCATATTATACAAATTTGCCACCGGCTAGGCGCGTTAAATCATCTGTTTTTCAAGCCTTTTCATTGGTCGATGGGTAGCCATTAAGCGACGTGCGATTTTATATGAGCGATGGTCGCCTTTACGTCACAGCGGTCGAGCGGATTCCATAATGTCAGAAGTATGAATATCCGGCTATATAGGCAAATATTGCCCTTGCAATTATGGGATTAATGTTAGTCAATAGTTTTTTCTAACATAATAATTTCTAATTTGAAACTTTAAAAGTAAGTGAGATTATGCATTGAAGTAAAGAGAAGTTTAGATTATAAAAAAATCTATCGTTATTATTTTATTATAATTTTTTTGTACTTTGCTTTACAGAAAAATAACCTTATTTAAAGTCATTTCACATCATGGTGATATTAAGGAATAAAAGAAATAATATACAAACTAATTAGTTTGTTTCTAACAAGTTGTGAGAGATCTTTTGATATCTTTCATTTTAGAGTTAATATTTTTTATATTAATAAATGATTATTACTGGCGAGAGGAGGGTCAGTAATTAAGAATTTTCTCATCTTCTGTTAGACAATAATATAGATTAAGTTCAATGATTATGGATCCAGGAATAATATGTTTTCGTCACTGTACTATTAAATCTGTGTTTTGTAAAACTATCCCAGAAGTGTGTCCATTATGTCAAGAATTAATTGTAAATTTTAATATAGAACCATTTAGAATTCCTTATCCGTTTAGAAATGCAACAAGTCAACCGACTTCAATTGTAATAAAACCTTCATGTGGTACATTTTTAAATGACTATAATATTAATGATCTTTTACATATTGGAATAGTCAATTCTAATGGAAAGCTTTATGAATTTGATAAACATGGCTTGATTATTAATAATGTTTCTCAATGGATAAATTGTATCTCTATACAAGTAGTACCAGCTTCTTGGGATTATTATTGGGATGAAATATTAAATGTTATGACTCATGATATTAAATGGAAATCTATTAATTATGATCAAAATACCATGAATTGTTTTAACTTTGTTAGAGAATTTTTGTATAAATTGAATTATAATAATTTACAATTTGAAAATGGCGAAGATATGTGTAGGAAGCTTATATTACCTAAACTTCATGAAGCTATTAGATACATTACGTTATACAAGAACTTGAAGGACAATCAATATTTTATATCGGATTAATTAATAAAAATATGTATTAAAAAAACCTTTTTTTTTTTTCTAAATATTTTTATATTATGTAATATTTACTGTTTCTTTTTCCTTTTTTTTTTCCATTGTCAATTAATATATTTTTTGCATTTTTACAGATAGAATTATAAAAGTGTAAAAATGTTATTTTCAAGAATAAGGAAAAGTGCGCTTGATAAAAGATCTGCTTTAAGAATTTGTCATTATATAAGAAGTATAGCAAATAATAGTAATGCTAATAATAAATTTGATGTTATTGTTGTGGGTGGAGGACATGCAGGAACCGAAGCCTGCACTGCAGCTGTCAGAATGGGTGCTAAAACGTTATTAGTTACACATAAAAAAAGTACAATTGGTATGTTGAAGAATATTTGTATTAAAGTACTTAATTAAATTAATATGTAAATTAATAAATAATTTTCTATATTTAGGAGAAATGTCATGTAATCCATCTTTTGGAGGAATAGGAAAAGGACATCTCATGAGAGAAGTAGATGCTTTAGATGGAATTTGTTGTCGCATATGTGATATTTCTGGTATACATTATAAAATATTAAATAAAAGTAAAGGTCCAGCTGTTTGGGGACTTAGAGCACAAATAGACAGAAATTTGTACAAACAACATTTACAGGCAGAACTTTTCAAAATGCAAGGTTTGGATATATGTGAATCGTCTGTTGAAGATCTTATATTAGAGGGAAGTCCACCAAAATGTCGTGGTATCATTCTTCGTGAGTTTAAAATATTTTTTATTTAATTTTGAGATATTAAAAAAAAAACATCAGATATTTAGCACTCTATTTTTTTTTTTTTATAGGAGATGGAACAAGAATATTCAGTAGCACAGTAGTTATAACAACGGGTACTTTTCTCAAAGGACAAATTATTATTGGATTGGAGAAAAGACCAGCTGGAAGAATGGGAGATGAACCTAGTATTGGATTAGCTAATACATTAGATCAACTTGGGTTTAAAATAAACCGACTCAAAACTGGTAATTGTTTATATCAAAATTATATAAAATATTA